GGTATCCAGAAGACCACCATCAGAAGCAATCGTGTTTGTTCTCAGGTATGTTGGAACTAATTGTCTCCCACTGATCTCTCCATGTAGTAGATGCTGAGTGAAGAAGTCACGCGGCATTCAAGGCTGTGAGAATATGCCTTGGGTAGTATCTGGCCCTGATCCCCTTGCATGTCACAGCTTTCTAGAGCTCTAACCACACTGAGGATCAAGCACTGTCTTGCAGGACTTCCCTCAGCTCCTCCCCTCTTTATGATAAGCATATATTTTTGCAAGCTTTACAAATTTGTTCTGCGCAATGCTCAAGCAGTTACAAAACATTTGACAGGCTGGCAAAATGGAAATACCTTCAAGATGTCTCATTTATAATTGTCAGAGAGACCCGTGAGGGTTGTTCTTTTTATCAGAACTTTTTTTTTCCAGAAGCCTGATTTAAAGAACTATTTAAAGATATGCTTACTTTGAAGCACGTTCCTAGCCTAGGGAACCTGGAAGGGTTGTGCATTATCATTAGGTACATGTTTTGGTCCCTAATAGGCAGGACCTTAGTTTGAAAGGGTCAGTTTCTCACTCTGAAGGGTTGGAAAGGGCACCCAGCACTTGTGTAATTCTTCCTTTCCTGAGTTGCTGACTAGCTGACAGCAGCTAAAGCAGGTCATTGATGACAGCTAAATATATTCATGTGGCACCGCACAGCTCTGAGTCCACCAGCGCTGTCTGTGGTGGCTTTACCCTCTGTTCCTGACAGCAGTAGTGGAGAGGTGGGACTCATCTCACCCAGCTTCAGACACCCACAGCAGAGACACCTACTTCCAGCTTGTCGCCCCAGACTGTTTAGAGCTGGTGGAGAGAAACAAGCACTCAGAGGGAGTGATTCATCTGGCTCGTTTTAATCATCTGCGTTAGGAGGGATAGATCGTGCTATGGAAATGTCTTTTTTCTGTCTACTAACTATGCAGAAAGTGTAAATCACTGTCTCAGATACACAAGTCGGCACGGCAGATGTCTCAAACTGAATGCCACTCTTTGTTTTTATCAGTATCATATTTTTAATACACACACTTAGGTACAGTGTGGTCCTACAGTAAGCCTATACCTGTCTAGCTGTGTACAGGAGTGTTAAGACTCTTGTATAGGCTTCAGAAGAGGCCTGGACAGCCTATTTAAAAGTGTTACCTTTAATGGTTTAAAGATGTCCCATGTCTCTTTTGCTTCATAGCCTTTAGCTGGGTCTGTGGAGTAAATAGCTTGGGTATTGATGTCCTTGCTACAGGTATCCAAAGTCACCTGAGGGGAGTCTTAGCCATAATAGAAGAAACAAAAGGACAGCTGTTTTCTGAGGCTAATGGCATTGGCAGTAGCTTTGGAGATGGTTTCCTTCCTTTGTTTCTGAATGCCACGGGAGAGAGATTGGACTGAAAGTGAGGGAGGAGGAATGGTTCCATTTGGGATTTATGAAAAAGGAAAATGTGTGAACAAAAGGGACAATGAAAAAACAAAATTAGTAAAAGCAAGATAGGCATTTTTCCTCTACTTCAGTATCTTAATTTGTTCTTTTGGGGGATACAGTAGCATACAGAGTAATTTGCTGCAGGAAGCAATGGAAGAAACACATTAAAACTCTGTGGAACTAAAATTCTTCAGTGTCCTGCCTCATCGATTCCAAAAAGACATTTTGCCATCTTTAAATTCATGTGCATTCTGTTGCCAGCTGATTGTTGTGCAGTGTTAGGGAGAGATAAGCTTTTCAGCTACGTGTAGGTTTAGTGTCACCCCATGTGCACTTGTGGTTTGGGTGAGGGAAATGTCCCCCGTAGAGACACAGGGACTAGAAAAGGCAAACTACAGCTCTGGATTTTGTCTTTGCCAGCTGGCAGGCAAGTGTCCTCCACAGTAAGTGAGAGGATGAGACCACATGAGTGTATATCATCTGTAGGGTCCACCCTCTCTGAAGAAAATATGTTTTTTGGGGACAGATTATGTCACAGGTATCTTCCAGGTCAGTGGTGCATCCATTGGAGAAGTCTGTACCCATTTGGCATCTAACTGTCCAGCAGCACAAGTAATCATGAGGACACAATAAAGTTTCACTGACATATACTACAGATACTGACACAAGTCTCGGCTTGTAATTGTTAATCATCAGACAGTGATTTTTACCCCATCATCACAAAATCCATTGTGCTTGGGATAAGTTTTTAGTCCCTCCAGTCTGTAAATGCATTAAAAGAATGAACATCCCTAGAAAGTTAACCTTTCAGGTACATTTTAGAAGTTATACATGCAGTATTGTCTATTGCTGAAAGCAAATGTTTCTGTTGGTGTGTTTAACACAAAAATAAATATACCTAGACAAGTAATTTTGCCTATGTAGCAGAGAAAACATCAGTAAATTCAGCTTTAGGGAGCAATTGCCATGGAACAGAGTAGAAGGCAGTGATATTCATGCAAGCTGTCCAGATGAACTGCTGGCTCTTGTGAATGTGCACAGTACAATGGGGACCTGAGCAGGTGGCTTCAGCCCTTCATGGGGGGAAGATCTTCACCACAGTGTCTGTAGTGGGCTGTCTATCAATACTAGATTACCAGATGCTGAGTGTCTGGTGCATGGTTGTGATTGATTCTCATTTTAGAAAAAGCACAGCTTCAGTGTTGTGATACAAAGCACCTACTCATCTTAAAATCTCATGTACCCTAGTGGTTTTTGGCACGTTCCCTAATGTTAAATATCTCAGCAGGAGTGGTTTAAATCCTGGTTTCCTGTTTCCCTGGGGAGTAACTGCAAAAAAGATGCATATGGCAGATACCCCATTCTCTGTCTCAAGAAGGTGGACCATTTTTGCCTACCTCACCAAACAATTTCAAAAATGTAAACTCTGAGTGAAGTTGCATTGACACAGAGGCACAAACTCCTCTTAAGCTCTTGTTTGGCATTCTGGCTTCTTGAATTTGTTTTTTCTGTGCCCAGAAGCCCAGTGGTCCAAGGAAAGAAGGATGCTGGAATCAAGGTGTGTGAAGTGTTTGGTGTTGCAGTGACAACACCCAGAAGAAAATCTTGAGTGGAAAGGAAAAATTTGGTAATCATTCTAGGATTTGTGTGGTGGACAGCAAAGAGGGCGCTAGAAACTGCCCATTACATGGTGAAGTTAAAAGAAATGAGTGTACCCTTGTTTGGTATTAACTAAACCCTGACACTGGTCTGTGCAGCGAGGCAAGAGGCATCAGTTACAAGCAATGTATTACTAAGAAAATGCTTTAGAATTATTTTGAATGAGCCGAGCGTTCACAGGCAGTCTGTGTGTCAATTCAAACATTTGGCAGGTGGCTTGCAACCTTTCCATTATGTGTTTAATACAAGGTCACCTTAACTTTGGACAAACCATTGCCTTGCTGGTGCAGCTCTTGTTATGTGTGAGGCTGCCCACACAACCTTCTATTGAAAACTGAAATAAGTGGAGAGATCAGAAACATCCTTATCTCTCTGAAAGCCATGCAAAAAGGCTAGATGTTTATCTCTTTGCTGCTGTACCTTCTTTTTAGATATCAGGCCATCAAAAAGAGGCCACAATCCTTCTTGTTATAAAATACAGCTTTACCAGGCAAACGAATGGTACTTTTAGCTCAGATCATGCATTTCTTATCTGTATGGAAATAGCTAAATAGGTTTTTTATAGAAAAAAAGCGTTTTCTTTCATAATGTATTAGATCATATAAATATAAATTTAGGTTATCTTGAAATAAGGGATTTTCCATTCCACATACTATTTCACACCAGGGTAACAAAGGTATTTTTGGTTTGGTTTTTTTTATTTGGACGTCTCTTAGTCTGCCTTGAATATATATAAATGTTTGGCAATAATACATTCTCTCATTGTCCTGGCTTTACTTACATACTTTTACTTTTCTATGTATGCAGTAAATTCTGGACAGTTTTGAAGTTGTTGATTCCTAGATTTCAACATGAACTGCTATAACTTCCTGCTTTAGGTGAATGGACCAACTAAACTGCAGTCAGCCTCTTAGAGAAATCACTGCTGAGTGTTGTGTGCGGGTGACTGACAACTTCAGCAGGTGTTGAATGGGGTGAATTTAAGAAAGGCAGGTAAAAAGCCCTAAAGGCAGTGGCCTGCTGCTGAGGTCTGCCAGCACGTTTTGATCTCTGTGGGAACTCAACCAGCTAACCTCTCTTTGCTCGTACATTCACAGGCTGGATACATTATTGACTGACCGCTGTAGGGTAGTAGGGCTGCTTCATGCTTGAGGGTTGAAGGGGCAAGGTTTTTAGGTGAAAAAATTCCAGCACCGTGTTATGTCTAGTTATAATGGGGGAAAGCTCCAGTCCAGTCTCAGTTTGTGCAGGTCTCAAACTAAAAAAAGTTAGGATTGCCTGGTCAGAGATGGACTTCAGGGCAGCCTGTGGGTTGGTCTAGTTTTTGTCATCTGGCTACAGCCACAGGAGACCTCTTTTTCCAGGGATAACTGAAATGTCTGGTGATCCAATTCAGTATTAATCATGCTATTTATGTTGCAGTGATTTGGCTTAGCTTCAGGATTAAATATGTCACCCTCTTTCTCTTTTAAGAAACACCATATTCAACGAACTGGCCATTTCTGCATTTTCCTAAACAATAACAATTTCAAGTGCTGTTATAATTCCCTTTGCTGCTTTATCAAACTCCGTACCACATTTTTCATTCATTTACACATCCCAACAGCATGAGTTTAAGTGGTGTGTTAAGCCTTTATATGTACATCAAAGCAACATGTAATTTTCACTTCCATTGGCTTCTAAATCTAGAGGTGATAATTGTTATTTGCATTCTAATTATGCCTCAGTTCAACCAGAGGCTTTGCAATGATCTAAAAACAAAGGACATTTTGTGGCGAGATCCGGTGGGTTCCTTTGCTCGTAAAGCTCCACTTGACTTCAGAAGGGCCTAAGATTTGAGAACTAAAATGCAGGATGGATTTCCTCAGTAAGCCATGTGTTTTCTTCTCTGCAGGGGATGAGCGCTCCCGGGAGTCTCCAGCCCCAGCCGAAGCACAGATGCAAGCTGGGGCGGAAGGCAGTGGAAGGGTGAGCCGCTGCTGCTGGAAATGTTCCGTGACACAACTCAAGAAGATTTTCTGGGGTGTGGCCGTGGTCCTGGGTGTCTGCTCCTCCTGGTCGGGTTCAACCCAGCTAGCAAAACTGACCTTTAAGAAATTCGATGCACCCTTCACTCTAACGTGGTTTGCAACAAACTGGAACTTTTTATTCTTTCCTTTGTATTATCTTGGACATGTTTTTAAGTCAACTGAAAAGCAGTCTCCAAAGCAAAGATACAGGTAGGGGAGCTTTTGTTTGTAATCCCGTGGCTCTTGTGTGCTGCTCTACATTTCACAGACATTTTGTTCAAATCAGTTGGTTACATCAAACTTGTGTTTGTTTTCCTCTCCAGGTTTGTTACAGGATGATCTGAGTTCATTGTGTGTCCTATGTTAGGTGCTATTATTATTCCTAATATAATTTCACTCCAGCAGTAAGAAATCCAGATTTATTTCCAACACATGCAACTCATGTAATTAAAGTCTGCATTTTCTGCAATTATTTATCCAGAGTTTTCTGCCAACATAATTTTTTTTATTAATATCTCTTTCCCCTACCCAAGGCTGACTTCTGTATCAGTCTCTGAGTAAGCTAAATAAGCTTTTCTTTTCCCAGCTCAGGACTAGAGCAGAGCCTTGAATAGCTGAGTAAAAAGTACTGCAGTATTTTCCTGGCACTAGGCCCTTGACATCAAAGGCCAAGCTCTGATCCCAGTTAAACTTGAGCTGTTATGTTTATTTCCGGGAGGAAGCGCAGTCATAACCAAAGGCAGCACTTTGTTTTCAGCACACCTTGTCTTTATAGCAAGCCAAACCCGCAGAGCCTGAGTCGCTCATGGAAAGCCCTGAGTGCCCATCCTCCGTGAGAGGCTGAGGATGCTCTGTCTGCTTGAAGGACTGCCTCTCACTGAGCACTCCCTCAGCTCTGCTCTGCTCATTTTGGCCTGAGAGGTGTCTGGGACAGATGGGATGACTCAGCCATCAAGATGTCCCATGTCAGTGAGCTTCCCTGATACGTGGAAGGATGTGAACAACCTTTTCCCCTTCTGTTACACAGTGGGGCTCATAGACTTTTAATGAAGTAGCTCAGAAAAGTAAACAGTAAGAAGTACACATTTCTCAGCTCCCAGCTGCGCAGCAGCAAGGTGGAAACTTACTACAAAAAAAAATCTAAGAAACCAAGTTACTCAAGAAATGCTCTACCTCAGTTGGCTAGGGTTAAGACTTAGCCATCATTACAGTTTTTTCATCTTTTAAATAATGTGGGGGCTGCAGATAATGGATATGACCATTCACTGCAGGTTCTGGAGTAGGATCCAGAAGTTCTAAAGGCATTTTCATAAGTGCCGTGTTTCTTGCACTTCAGTCTTCAGGTTGTATTTGTTCATGGCAAATGTGGTTGCTTCAGAGATGAGTATGAAGGTTACAGAAAGCTGTGGCTTAATCTAAAAACAGCAACAAATGCTAGCCTAAAAGCAAATACCTTTTCGTTTCTTTAGTTTTAAGTCTTTTTCTTCCCAGCTGCTCTCAGATAATGTTTTAAATACTGCTGAATTCTGGGGTGAGTGGTTGTGGTTTGCCAGATCCCTGGGGTTAAAAACCCAGAGCGTTGTACTCATTGCTGCAGTAAATTGATACAGTTGGTAGTTTTATGTCTTTCATTAATTAAATGAGGGCTGAATTGAAGAGCAGGTGCAAGCCCTGCAGCCTGTTTGGGATGTAGGGGGATATCACTAGCAGTAGGCTTGCCCAGGCTTCATAAAGAGTGTGCTTTTGTGTGTCTGACAAGCAGACTGAATAGGGTTAACTTAGGTTTTTCTGGGTGTCAGAGAAGATGTGTGCATTTGGAGATGTGGCTGTGGCTTCCAGCTTTGCTGCAGATTTGTTCTGTGGTTTGGAGCAAGTCACTGCAGACCTCTGATTTCCTTGTACTTTCTGTTCTTTTGGAGGAGGCAGTCCTTTAGGGAGGAGGGAGCACTTCCCCTTGCCATGTATTTACATAGTGTCTGCATCAGCATGTCCCCTTTTGGTGGTGCTGCACCAAGAGTTACTATGAAATTATTTACTGTTCATCTGCTTGCTCCCTTACAGCTGAGATGTCACATGAGTATACGTCAGTAAACCCGAGCATTGCAGTCCAGCCTCCCCTCCTAATTATTCCTCCTTTTTCCATGTTATATATGTGTGCAAATATACAGAGAAAGAGATACAAAGGGACTTTGTAGCTCCAGATGGGGCATCACCATCTTCAGGAAAGCTTGGAGTCCAGGCATGGTTGGCCACATTAGGAAGTTACTTCACAGACTTCTGGGTAGTTAAAAGAAGACAATTCTGACCTAGAACTGTAAAGAAACTGGTGTAATCACTTTCTACTTCTTTCATCCTTCACTTTCATCTATATTTTACATCTTATCTGAGCTCTCTGGCAGGAATTTGGAACAAGATAAATTAACAGTCAATAGCGAGAGAAGGTAGGAATATGATGTCTAAGTCACCTTAGCGGGGAAGTAGAAAAGGAAGGGGGTCTCAGATCTTGCCTACACAGGCTGCTGAAATCCACAGGTACCTAATGTTTTTTTGGCAGCAAAGCTCCCCCAGGACGCCTGCCCACCCACCTCAGCAGGACTGGGGTGCTCATCCTGCCCTCCCCGTGGCACAGGCAGAGCTTTCACACTGCCCCTTCCTGAGAGCACTGGAGCCAGCAGGTGGCTTTGGGTTCCTCCCTGTACAGTTAGAGGGCATGCAAAAAACAGCACCCACCAGGAAAAATACACAAAGAGGGATCATAAAATGTAGCAACAACGAATAGATGTATAGTCACTCCTGCACAGATTATATGGTTTATTACAGTTTTTTAAATTCCTGTTGTATTGTACCAGTATGTATGCTATGCTGTAAATACATGAATTTTTATGTTTTGTAGTCTCATCATAAGAACATACCTGTGATAGATATAAACCATTTTTTAGCTGGTTTATGACAGAAAACCAGATGCTTTTTTCCCTTTTTATAGCATGTATAATAGTAGTAAATTTGTCACCAAAATTTTGTAGTGACACATTGAATGTAAGAGCAGGTTTATTCAGTTTCTTTATAAGATTTTGAGTATTAGGCCAATATGTGAAGTACTAAGGATTATGATTGAACCGTATTGCACGGTAAGGAACTTGCTGCTTTGGCTGAAGTAGACTATCACCGTGTCCACACTGTGGGGAGAGAGTCACTCTTGACAGCAAACCAGAACTCATGCATTCACTTCCAACTGCTCTATATTCCCTGTGCAGCTCCATCAAATGCTGCCAGGGTTGTGCCCAAGTGTAGATTGCTCAGGGAGAACTTGTCCCTTGGTTGCTACCAAGGATGTTGTGGTGGAGGACCACTTGCATGGAAGTGACACAGAGAGCTCTGGAAGGCCATGGAAGAGCATGCCAGGGTCAGCATCATTCTCCTACTTCTTGTGCAAGTGCTCACTACCTTAAAATAAAATTACTGTAACTAAATTATTATTCATTTCAACCATTGTCCAGTCCAGAAATAACACACGTAATGATTTGTGCACCTAATGCATCATTTAAGAGTACTTCGTACTTTTTGCTTCCAAACTGCTTTATAAAATGACACATTTAATCCAATGAGCTATCCTCCATCATACCTACATTATTAATTTATGAGGTAACATAAATTAAAAGCACTAGGGCTTAAAACTCCCTGGCTACATGAAAGATTAAATTAAAATCTCTGCAGGATGTTGCTTAGCTTTGTGTATCTCTAGGCAGAAAACATGCCTCTTATAAAGATTCGCCCTCTGTATATAAAGATTCCTCAGCTGGGAGGAGTAATAGAGGGGTTTGTTCACATTTAAAAAATACCTCAGAAAACTTGTTTGTTTTGGTGGTATAGTCTTATCTAATGACTTTTTTTGAGAAGGAAAGGAAAGGACTTTCAAGAATGGTTTGCAGGATTTTTTATTCATTTGTAATTTAGATCTTGATTTTTGTTTCATAAAGTTTTAGGACTAAAGAAAACACCAGAAGTTAGAACTAAATCTCTTCTGAAACCTTCAATGCACCTGATGTGTTGGGTGAATGAAAGAATCATCCCAGTGCAGTCTCTGCACTGATCTGCAGCCACATTTGAACATGTTTTAGAATGTTCTTTTTCACTGATTCAGTTTTTGTCTCTATATTGCTCCCAAATTATCTGCCACTAATCTTCCAGAATTTGAAGATTTTTCTTTGAAAATAAAAAAAAGGTTACAGATAATTGTTATGTCTTTGCAAGTGAATCAAAATACTGGTGCAACAATGGTAGAGGACTAGCAGAGTAGATCTCGCTTACTCTGATATACCAACATACTGACTTTACAAAAGTCACTTTTGATCTATATGCCCATGGGTTCAGAATCAAGACTTAGTTCTTCGGGGGCCACAAATTTTGAGTGCCACAGCTTCACTTGAGGTCCAGGAGAATCCAGTGAGTTTCTAAATGTGTTTCACAGGTATTTCTGCCATGATGGAAAAGATGAGACACTAGCCATCACACTCAGTAATGCAAGGAGTTGAGTCCATGAGTTTGATCCTGACTCATATGAAGTGCAATTCACTGCACTATGGGTAGGGCCTCCTTTTCTGCAGCAGGCAGAGAACCCCACTGGTAACCAAACCCCTGGACATGATGAAGCTCTAAGGGAAAAGAAGGTCAGAGCCATTTGGCATGACTGGATGCTGTTTTACTATCGATTTTTCAGTGGTTTGTGTTCATGAGTCTCTCTTACCCAGCAGCATTAAAATGTTGCAGTGTGGTTAACTTTTGGCATCCTACTGATTTATATTACTTCTTAGATGGGAGCTTCACCACCAGAGCAGACAGCATTAAGAGAGTCATAAATAAGCTGTAGAGGCATCAAGACATGACAAATGTGAGTGTTTTTAGCAAATGTCACCCAATGAAGCATGTTTTCTTTCCAAAAACTTCAGTTTATAAACTCTATTTGTCTAATTCAGAACATTATCCTTAAAATAATACCTATTTACTTTGTGTTCCTCAAAATAAAATCACTTTACAATTCAAGTTCACATTAGCTTCTTGGGGAAATACAAATGATAATTTAAAAAACAACCAAAGAACAAAATAAACCATTGAAATTAAAAGATAAAGCATCTGACTCTTACCTGAGTTCGACAGAGACCAGTCAGGAGTAACTCCGGATTGAATCAGTTTGATGTCTACAGCAAGAGATC